ACTGAACCCACCAGCTCTGAATTCCAAACAAAAGAGGATGGTGAGGGGTGGGGGGGTGGGGGCGACGTGTAGGCAGGCTTCTCTCCTCATTTCCCTCTGCCTAAGAAAATCAGACCCACAGTCGTTTTTTTTTTTCTCTGGACTGCAGCTGCAGAGGGGAAAGTTTGCTTTTGCTTTGGTGCATTTTAGATGAGTTTAGTCTTTGTTCAAACTGACATGAATGTGAAGTGAGGCTTGAAAACAAAAGTCACACGGGGTCACGGGTTGAGACGCTGCCACCCCGAGAGGTCATGATTCTGAAGGAGTCAGAACAAATCATTCCAGCTTCCTAGATGCAGCTACACGGGCGCTTTGTGACCGATCAATCATATTTATACTGTAATGTGGATTAGTTGCACAGTTAAAGAAAAAGATTGATGTTTCTCTGACGGTCAGATCCACACCACTGTCATGTGCGTATGGTAAAGACGAAGCTACAGCCTGCAGCTGTAACATAAATCCAGCTATATATTTATTTGTGACCAACTTGCTATGTTTATGTTTAGTGTTAACTCCTCTTTCTGGCTTTGTACAGTGCATTGGTTTAACGGTTTCTCAGAGGTCTGACATCAAATGCCTGAGTTTTGTAGATTAGAGGGTGTAATTGACTCTGGGAAGTGGATCCATCTCAGCTGGAGGCTGCAGACTCAGCAGGTGTCCTCTGCCGCAGAAGCAAAACTTCCCTCAGCCCATAGCCTCATTTTCAGCTCTCTCTCCACCTCTCTCTTTCTTGCTTTCTTTCTTTCTTTCTTTAACTTTGCTCTATCATATTTTCTCATCTCTCTTTTGTTCATCCCATGTTTTTCATTCTCCATCCCATATGTCCCACCTTTCTCTCGCTCCCTCCCTCTCTTTCGGGTTCGGTTTCAGTAATTAACAGCTACTGTACCAGGGCTGTGTTCAGACAGGCAGCTCAGATTTACATTTACATGACAAACACTGGAGCTGGACATAAATTTTCTGGGGTCTGAGAAGACAATAAAAAGAAATCTGACCTTTTCAGTTTGGATCAAACTCACAGGAGATCTGAAATGAGTTTTTGATTTATGCTGAACCAGACACAGTGCAGTTTTTTTTCTTTTTTAACATGTAGGCCTATGTGATATCACATTGTGATAAAAAACAGGTACGTTTTCATTCTTCTAACCTGCTGAAGCCACCAGACCTCTGCATCATTTTTAGAGGTTGACAGTGTTCATTTCTAAACACATCAAATCAATCTAGTGTCACGAAAGCTGTCATATCAGCATTTAAATGAGCTATTTGTAAGTTTTGCTATTGCTACATAGCCAGTGTTAGCATTAACGGCTGTTTACTTGCCATTACTTGCTGTCTTTCCAAAAGCTCCAGCTGTCATTGCGTTCATGATACAACAGGTTATAATATGCCCTCTGAGCAGATACTTCTTCATGGCAGACTGGATACTACAGTGACTCGGTATCGGAAAGTGACAAGACAGGCCGGCAGGGCCCAATCTAGCTGGAGCTTGCTAACTTAAGTAGCCTAGAGGAAAAGTGATAGAAATAGAATCAGAACAAGGGTTTTGCTTTCCACCACAGGAGACAGCTCTTGGCAAGTAGAGGAATGAAGTTTCTTCTAGACTGGTAAGTAAACAGCTGTTAATGCTTACATTGGCTATGTAGCAATAGCAAAACTTACAAATAGCTCCTTCGTGTTATATACATGTAGCTTACATGTATGTGTTTATGAGTGAGAAGTTTGTTAGTTCTCTTGTATGAAGATACACATGCAGGTGATGGGATACACATTGCTGCCATGGTTTCAACTACTGATCTACAGTAGTTTAGTTATAAACTATATAGTCAATTATATTGCAAATAAATCTATAAATGAAACAGTTATGTTTATAAATATAGTTATATTTAGTTCAGTAGTGGCATGGTAACAAATAAAGGCAGGGAGGAAGAAAACTGCAACCTAGTAATGAAGAAAATTGCCAATATTTAATAAGGAAAGAAACAAATTCAGTTATGGTGAAAAAAAAAGAATGTAAACTTCAACTTTGGTTTGTTTACAAGAAAACTAGACGAGGAGCTCTAAGGGTTTATTACAAGCAGCGCAATAGGGAGGGCCTTCGGGTGGGTTCTGCTTCGCTGCCTCTTAGTGGTTTTGTTGTATATGTTTCATCAGTGTGAATGGATGCATTAAACTGAATTGGCTACACTCAGTCACCATTGTCATGGAGGATATAATCTGCAGATGAATCAATAGTGAAAATCATTGTTAGCTGCCGCCTTAGTTAGGTTGAACCAAGCTCAATGTATTTCTAATATCAGGTTAAAGACCTTCATTATCACTCTTGTGCTGACATGGTGCATATTCATGAACCTAGTTTGTATCTAATCAAATTAGCACACAGCGTGTGGTTCTTGGTAATACTCATGCATAAAAATAACTGTAGACAATGCTCAGAGAGTGGGAGGAATGAGGAGTGCATAAGGGCCCTGCAGCAGGTTAATCTGACCATGACTCTCCCTCCCATCGCTAGAGCACACCCTCTGATGTAATGAGTCTGCTTCCCTCATACCTGAGTAACCCAGACTGCCCGTCACGCCCGGGTATTCTCCTACTAGAAAATCTCCATTTCCATAAATAATTTGTCAGAAAAATAGGGGACAAAAGAGCACATGGAACGAGACAATGTTTATTAGGGCATCAACCAAGGTTACACTCACACCGACTTCCTCTCCTATAGTTTGCATCTACTGACAGAACGTGTGTTTTTGAAGATGCACTGCATGCCACTTAAAATGTTTTCGGGGGAAAGAAAAGGTCAGAAATTGATGCAGCAGCTAAAACACTGGCAATAAGATTACAGAGGCTTTCCTATGTGTGCGGGAGGATTTAGAGTCCAAAAAAGAAAATCAGATTTGGTTGTTTCCCATTAAGCTTCTCACTGCAGTGTTTGTGTCATCAAGAAAAATAAGAAAAGAACAAAGGATTCATGTTTTATTTGAAGTTAAAACTCTTAGAACTGGCAACAACAAACGCAGTTTTAAACCTTTGTCAACGTCTTTTTCATGCTCCAACTTATTGGTAGTTACTGTACAACGCTGTAATACTAATGCATCTCAATGTAACGGCTGTCATCGGCATGAAGAAGGCAGACAGTACTGTCAGCCTCCCTCACCCTGACTTACGTTTCCCCTGATCAGCATTTTGTGCATCTTTATGTTGTCAGAGCTGTCAGAGGGGGAGAGACAGTACTTCCTGAAATTTAGTAATCTGCGTGGTTCAGCATTGTGGGCAAAGATCAATAGGACAAGCAGCTGGTTATCTTAGCTTAGCATAAAGACTGGGTAGCCTCGCTCTGTCCAAAGGAAACTAAATCCACCTACCAGCTCCTCTAAGGCTCATGCATTATTAACATTAGTGTAAAAATTATGTTGCTGTTTTACAAGCGTCCAGAAGAAAAATCCCACCCTACAACTTCATGTTTTTTACACTTCAAGCCAAGGAGTGAACCTAGTTTGTTTCTCTCATTTTCATTGATGCAATTTAGAGTGATGCATTACACACATACACAAAGAGACACTCGAAAAAAACTATCGAACTGTGAATGAAAAGTTTACTTTGGCGCCTCGCATTTGGTTTGTTCAGAATTCACACGTCTGCAGTTTGTGAAGTGAAGCTTGAAAACAAAAAAGTCAGACAGGGTGTCAGCTTTTCGTGCGCTGCCTTTCTGCGACGTTTCAAGAATTCTGGAGGTGGAGGAGTCAAAACAAATCAAAACTGCAGTGGCTCAGTATTCATACTGTAATGTCGATTACTTCAACAGTTAAAGGAACCTTTTGACAATGTGGGAAATACACTTATTCTCTTTAAAGCAAGGAGTTAGATGAAGGTGAATTCCATTCTTTTATTCGGCCATGTCTCATAGATACAAGAGCAGCAAGCAGCTGGTATAGTCCAGCACATCATCCCAGTAAAACAGCAAACTGTCACTTTGGGACTTGGTGGTGGTTTGGCCTGTTTCTGGATGGCTACACTCCCTATGGACAGATTTCATTATGTTTCTGATTTTATGTTCACATCAGGCATTTACAGATGACCATTTTAATCTTTAATCTTACAAATGCTCAACATCTGGCTCCGTATGAGACACAGTTCAACAACAAAGACGCCCCGAACCACCGACCTTCTGATCTGTATCTTGTGGCTGAAATTGTATTTTGAACATGCTGTGACTGGGCCCCTATCCACAAGCTTCTGAAGCTTGCCGGGGTGTCCCATTTTCACCCACTGTTATGTGTATTCTATTCCTGATTTGAATGAATGAATTCATTAATGCATCAGGGGGCGACTGGGCCTCCCTTCTGAGCCAAAGCCACCCAAAGGCAATTCCACAAAACAAAAACTATGATGAAATTAAAATTGAGAACCTTATTTTATTCTTGACTATAACGAGACTAAATGTGAACAAAACGTAACCTTTGAAGACAACCACTGCAACTTCTTTCCCACCCACTCAAGCAGTCAGCCATTTGTAGAAAGATATTGTACTTCAGTTGCTTCAACGTCACCGTAACTGAATCCCCACATAACATACAGCAATGATCCTGGTCAGACATGGGCAGATGATGCTTATTGACTGAATCAGACCGAGCGCCAACATGGAAGAGGACAGATCATACAGGGATAGAGGGACAACTTCTTCTCTTCATGCTTGATTATGGAAGGTCTGATAAAATCTTTGGGACTGACTGTGATATTGAAGCACAGCAGATACAGTAGTGCTGATGCTGGCTCTCTGGCAGGATGATGATCATACATCATCATCAAAAGGGTTTTTATTCAATTTTATCGCAGGAAACTGAGAAATTGAGTGAGTGTTCTCACTGATGATTTTTTTCTGCTCAATCAGAAAAGAGGACGATGTGTAAAGCCGTCACGTCCAGCACAAGCAACCCTAAATAAAAGCTTTATAAAAAGGAACTTACCGCTGATGGTGGCTCTCTTTGGCAGTATGGTGACGGCTCCGACGGCAGCATCCTCCAGCTGGTGGATGGGACTGTTTTTGGCCCCCCAGCTGTCAGAGCCAATCCACATGAAGTGACCAACCTGGTCAGCTCGCTTACTGGCATTCAGGATCCCCCTGCATTCAAACATACGCCATCAATGAGTCACATGCTGTGCGTATGTGTGTTTGTGTCTATGACAACAGTTGTATTCATGGTGCAGAACTGAACATGTAGCTACTTCAGGGCAGATTGGAGGCTGCAGCGAGTCGCTATATTACAAGATGGGCTGGGGCTAGCTGGTTAGCATGCTAACTTCAGTAGAAGAAAACACATGATAGAGACAAGAGTTAACACTGGCGTTGGTTTCCACCGCTGGGGACAGCTGTTGGTGAGTAAAAGAATGAAGTTTGATGCCGAACTTGCAGCGTTTCTTCTAGACTGGTAAATAAACAGCTGTTAATGCTAACAGTGGCTATGTAGCAATAGCAAAAAATGGCATTCAACAGAAGTCGAATTAATGCAAAACCAAGGGGTGCATCAGTTTTGTGTGTCGGCTTCATGAAAACAGGAAATGCAGCCAAAAGAAAAACCAAAAAAAAAAAAAAAACAATAACCCAAAAAACACACACAACATTTAACATTAACCTGAATATCTTACATATGACATTAAACATTAAAGTGGATGGTGTTTAAAGAAAGCGTGTTCGCTTACCTGATGTCCTCATCAGAAGCGAACAGGATGACTGCCCTGGCGTACCGAGTGTCCAGCAGCAGGCGGATGATTTTATCAAAGTCAGAGGGTTTGTGGTCATGAGGGATCTTCAGTGACTGAGCTATACAGATTCCACCTGAGGAGGCACAGACCAAAGGGCAACATTAATATACTGGAACTTGATGTATTCCCTGTTCTGAAGGAAAAAAGGGTTATTTATTGATTTTACTGTCAATGACTGTAATCGTTAAAAAAACATCCTCAAAAAAGGTTTTTCCGAGAGTCTTGTCAAAAAAGTTAAAAGTCGCAGTAAAAGTTACGGCAATTGAAGAACCTAAAAGAGGGGAAAACGCAGCAGGCTTTAATGGAGCGCCAGAAGAAAGAGAGCTCTGCTTCTCTCTCTCTCTCTCTCTCGCTCTCTCTCTCTCTCTCTCTCTCTGCCGCCTGACATTTCATGAAACCACCTACATTTCTGCTCTCAGCCATCTTAAAAGTACGAGGAAAAAGACTGTTAGAGTTCCAGGCTGAGACGTTGCTAGTTTCAATAAATGTCACTCAACTGCACAAAAAGTGTGCAGGTTTTTTTTTTTTTTTTTAAACTTTACTTTGCTCAACATGCACCATTTGCCAGAACTCAGTTGGGTGCAAAGGCGTTGTCCTTTTACTGATTCACATTCTATAGTAGTGAATCCAAACTACATGCATGATGAATATTTCACTATAGATGAACCTGAGTTGTAGGTGGAAGTAAAGTATCCTCCATCACTGCAGTGAACCTCTGTAAAACACTGTGACGTATGGAAAGGATTTCACTTTTGAATTAGACGTCTTTTCTTATTTGATGCTCTTACTTTAGAAAAAAAAAAAAAACAGAGACTGAGGCCCACAATCCTCTGCTTCATGAATTCAATTATACTTTTATAAATCTCCATTAATATCCTCATGTTTCAGTGGCATTATGAGTGGCATGCCAACTAACTGGTCTGTCAACATGGGGCCCGATGGTGAGTCATCAGCCTGCTGATCTCTGAGCCGACGTTTCCTGACCCACAATCCACTTTGACTGAATCATTTTTATTCAACGATGATTACAATTCTAGACATAAGCTTGCCAGTAATGCAGAGCTGGTCTAATGCCTCGAGCACGTCCATGTTCAAAATCTCATGACAATCCATTCAGTAGCTGATGAAGTCAGTCATTTCTATCCACAGAGCCACGGTGCTACTACGACTAGAAACATTTTTGATTTACCATTTTAAAAGGCTGCTATAGCACCCAGGTGAATAAGAGGAAGTCCTGGTCATACACATTTAAATACAATGATTACTTCCCACAGATTTGTAAGAGCAGTTATGCAAATCAATTTTCTGAGCCGTTCACAAACCTTCCGACACCAACTTCAAGAGTTTGGCCTTTAAGAGTGTCTGCTGTCATTACAGTGAGACAAGGGTAAAACCAGCGAGGTCAGAGGTTTTTCAGTCTTCCTTGTATCACAAATTAGATCAGATATTATGCCAGTTACAAAAGGCTCTTCAGGGCAAGCCTGCAGCTTGTGGGAGTGAGTGTGGATAAGCTGAGGTCATCAGGTCACATACTACTCTTGTTTTCAGGAGCTCTTTTGCACCAAAGCTTGATGTTTTTTTGAATGCAATTAAAACCTTTTCTCAGCTCAGGCTGTCACATGCAACATTAATGAAACTGGACCTAAACATAAATAAAACACTTGAATCACAAGGACAATTTGAATTTTGAAGATTGTTAACACCACAGAAGAATTGTGATACAGTGTCGTGTCTTTATGAAAATGCTGGAACAAGCAGATACAGAATATATGATTTTGTCAAACTGTAAAAAAAAAAAAAAAGTTTTATCTAATTATTAAAGAGAGGAAATGGAAGGGGAATAGAGTGCTGAATGTTTTTTAACATTGATGTAGATCTTTTGAATTTAAAGGCTTTACATCCACACGGCCTTGTTCATATCTTTAAATACCATAGGCCCACAAATGAGAAGAGTCAACCCCGACTTTTAAAGGTCCCATATTTTACATTCTTCCAGTGTTTTATTTGAAGTGTTGATCCATTAGAAGATATATTTATAGTTTTAAGAACTAAAAACCATCTCAATGTAGTTTTATATCTCCTCTCCCAGGCTTCTCTCTGGAACTCAAGTAACAACAGGTCGGTGAGCCAATCAGAAGAGAGGCACTGACGCTTTCCTTTGACTGGCCGACTCTTTTCTTAGTAATTGAATAAAACTATAGCAGATTTCAGGTAAACACGCAAAATGGTGCAAGGTTGGATGGTGGTTGCAGGTGGGCAGGGCTTGGGGCGTGGCAGAGAGCGGTGACCGTTTTGCTGTGACATCACAAAGTTACAGAAGTCTTGACGGCTCATCTTAAGGCTCAGTTTTTGAATACAGGCTGTGTGCATTTCTCTGTGGACTGAGCGCTTTGATACTTTCACAGTAAAGAACTTAGACCTGCTTTATAATCAAAAAAGAGATCGAAATCTCAGTTTATACAGCATGGGACCTTTAAATCCCTGGCTCCGCCCAGGCTGTAATATCACAGTCCTTCATCTCAGCGTGGTCCATGTGAATGTGACAAATCAAACTCACAAACATCTGAGAAAATCAACACTGAGATTCTTTCAGAGGAGCAGAAAATGTTTATTTCTCTAACCTTTTCACCTCAGCTCCGCCATCCATGCTCTATCAGTAATGTGGACTGTACTGTACGACCCAGTAGACGGCAATGAGCCTCCAGCTGGGAACTCAATTCCAGTGTTCAGAGGTTAATACAGTCTTCACAGGAAGCCCATGTTTTTATCACACTAAATCACTGAGTTTATCACTAAACTCAGCAATGTGAAACAAACACAACACGACTCAGGGTTTCTTTTTATCTCCTTTTTCTTTCTGCCCTTCTTCAGTTTTTTTTTCTGGCCTATCTGAATGGTCTTTCTTCCTGTACTTCTTTCATATGAGTTCCTTCATTCATTTCCTGCCTTCTCTCCTTCCTTGCTGTTTCTTTATGTTAGTTGCTTCATTCTGTCCTTGTTTTATGTTACGTCTTTATTTCTCTTGCTTCTATTATTTCCAAGGATTGAATCATTTCTGCATTACTTTTTTACCACCACTGATTAAATTTTCTAGTGTTTTACCATCCTCTGATTAATACAGTAATTCAAAGTGTTGCAGTCGCATCTCTGTGTTGCACAGAGAGCATCCCAGTTCAGCCTGACGATACATGAAGCCTTTTCTCTCATCGCTGCAGATAAACTGAGCTGAGGAATGTGAAGCTTCTCTTATATTTTGGAGGACAATAAGAGGAAAGGAAACTTCCTGGCTCAGATGTTTGTTTAGTAAAAGCTGAATTCAAATTCTGGTGCAGTATATGAAGTACAGGAGGTAGTTTTCCTGGCCTGTCAGTAGCGGGTCTTGATGATGGTGTTAATCTGACAGGCTGTCCATACAGGGAGGAGCAGGGATATCCGGATGTCTATCTGATGCCCGAGGAATAAATACACTGATCAATGTGCTTATTTGTTGTGATGATCAAACATAGGCTGTCTGTATTGAGTACAGTCTCACAGCTACCACTGCAAAGTTCGAGTCTGTGTCTGTTGGAGCGGCTCATCATCTCCTGTTGCGCGAAGACCATCATCGAGTTTTTCTCAGAGCCAGGCTCTTTACCTCCTGCTCCTCCTGCTGTGGAGCTTCTTCAGTCTCAGAAACAACAGGTGAGTGGACTTTAAGGACATATGGTTATTATTTTGTACTGCTGCAACATTAAAACACTGTTATTTAAACATTATTATTCGTCACTGAGGTTGGTAATGACATCCGCTTCTTTAAAAATGCATCTACAAATCAAGACAACAGCCATTTCAGTCAGTTTTTTGTCAGCGGATCAATTTGAAGTATTGCAGCGAGTAATGAGACGAGAAGGAGCGGCCACAATGGTCCACTTCCCTCATTGGCATCATTACATCTAATATAATGTAATCTAATTTACATTTATATATGAAAGGGTAAGTAGGAGTTCAGTGTGGTGCTTAAGATAAATGGATGTCGATAAGCACATAATGAGGATGTGGTGATCAAATGTGACCTTCTTGTTAAACAGCGCAATCTGATAAACAATTCACTCACAACAAACGTCACAAATAATTGAACCTTTTTCTGTGAAAGAATGTCTGTAATGTGGGGCCTCCGCCGGCCATGTTTTCTTTTGTGGCGACCTGATGTGCTTTATTTGACATATCAACCATAATTAGTCAGCCAATTAGTGGCCTCCTGATGCCGGCCAGAGAGCAGCGGAAAACAAGAATGAATGAAAAGAAGGAACGTGAATGTCTGAACCAAATTCCTTGACTTTGTTGTCGAGTTATTTCCCTTAACAACGGCCTCATGGTGGCGCTAGAGGAAAAGTCAGAGGATCATCAAAGTGGGTAGGATTCATCCTGAGTGAAACATTCATTTCCGAACAAAATGACATGACGATCCGCCCAATAGTTGTTGAGATATTTGAGTTCAGAACCAAAATGGTGGACAGGTGATTTTACCAACCATCGAGCCACACTGCTAACATACCCATGACTTCTAAATAGAGTAGGGGACACTGGAGACGGTTGCGACACTTTTTGCAATTCTGTCAGAAACTTTTTGGATTAGACCAACCAAACCTTTATGTATTAAACTTACATCTATCTGCTAGTTACACATGTCATTTAAAGATGATTAGATATGACATGTCATTCGCAATATTTATTTGAATGGAAGAATGCAGATGTTGCAAGTGACTACAAACCTGGGGGCATTTGCAATATATTAAAAATACATTCAATTTCACGAAACTTTCTGTTTTGATCTGGCTGCTGAACTTGGGGACAGTGGCAATAACTTGTTACAACTGTTCTCACCCCACCAGCCGTGACAGAACATTGTGTAATAGCGAGATACCTTGACACATGCTAACCATGTCACTTAGAAGTCAACAAAACAATGTTTTGATTCATTCAAAGGAAATATGTAATAATGATGCAATAAATGCAACAGCATATGTTCAATGTGTCTTCTGTCTACCTGGCAGGGGGAGGGTCTAACTGACCCTGTTTCTGATTGGAGGAATA